GGTTTTAGTTTTGGGAAAAGCCAGAAGTCACAGGGCACCAAATACGGGCTGTAGAGAGGGCTAGCTGAGTCATCTGGGTGATGTGATGTTTCACCAAAAAACTCTGCATGAGAATGTGATACATGAGTGGACACATTGTCATGATTAAGCCGCCAATCACCAGCTGCCCAGAGCTGCGGCCTTCGGAATCATCTGAATAGTGTCTGCAGAAGAATGTTTAAGCTTAACACAAAATTTGATGCAGATTCATTGCCCTACTCACTCGATCATATTGAATGCAATGACCACATAGTACACGTGTTCACTCAAAATTTCATCAAAATTTTGATTTCACCAAAATTTAAGACAACTCAAAAGGTAAGAAAGAGGGATAATTCAACCTTCCTCTACTTTTCATTCTAGTAAGGCCCACAAGGGAGTGGACCAGACCCGCAAGGGGTTGGATGAAGCCCACCAGCACTGGGAGGGCCGCCTGCTTTGCTCAATCCACCAGTTCAAATGCTCATCTCCTCCAGAAACATCGTCGTGGACAAATTTAGAAGTAAAGTTTCACCAGCTCTCTGGAGTCCTGTGGCCCAGTCAAGTTGATCCATAAAATGAACCATCAAGGTAACAAAGTCAGAATAGAATTAATGTAGGGAGGGATGAACAACTAATGGAACAGAATAGACAATAGAGAAACAGACCAACCCCTAGATGAAAACCTGACAAACAGAAAGGGATAGAGTGGCCAATCAAGGGGCTTGGATCATTGATTATTAATAGGAGAAAAATTAAATAGTTTCCTTAGCCCAAGTAAAAAGATTAGTTACAACAGGGCTGAAATACAAAAAATAAAATAAAATAAAAAACTACAGGAGAAAATCAAGATGGTGGAGGAGTGAATGGAAGACACCCTGACCTCCTCCCAGGACCAATCTGGAATTACAACGAACTTATGGAGAAATCACCTGGAACAAACAACTGAATAATGGCTAGAGAGGAGCCTTATAATCTCAGACAGACAGAAAAATCAGCTTTAGCACAACCTAACTGGTAAGGAGTGAGGTAGAGACTCGAGAAGGTGGGCAGGGCACCCATGGGCAGCAGCACCAGAGGATATTGAAATGGCCAGTTGGATCCTCCTGGGAAAAGTGGGGTCTAAATCATAAGCAGGGATCTCCAGCCTACAGCACCAGAGCCCAAAAAGTACACAGATAACAGCCAGCTGGGAAGAGCGATAGGGTTTCTCTTTGCCAGAGACAGATGGCTGGAGGTGCAAGGAGCCTTTTAAAGAGCCAACAGATAAATTTTTGTTTGCAGCCACTTACCCTGGATTCTGGCAAAGGCGGGGGCAGAGTGGGCTAGAGATGCCAGAGGAGAGACTGGGGAAGGAGGCTTTGGGTAGAGAACTGAGAGAGTAGCTGGCAGGATCCTGGTGCTGACTCATCTCCTATATGGCAGCAGCCATCCTGCTCAGGCAGACCCTCCCCTGAGCAGCAGCAACTGTAGAGGACATAATAGTCCCTCCCCCAGGAGGGACTCTGCCCTGGCCCAGTGGTGCTAAAGCCTGACTGCTGAGTACAGAGTGGCAGCCACAGATAGTAGATCCCTGGCTAAAAGGGGAGCAGAGTGGTCTAGAGATCCTTCAGGAGAGACTGGAGAAGGAGGCTTTGGGGAAAGAACTGAAAGAGGAGCCAGCGGGATCCCGGTGCTGACTCCTTCCCCATATGGCAGCAGCCATCTGGCTCTGGCAGATCACTCCCCTGAGTGGCAGCAGCATGAGAGGACCCAATAACCCTGTCCCCAGGAGGGACTCTGCCCCATCCTGTGGTGTCTAAGCCTGACTCCTGAGTGCCAAGTGACTAGATTAACAACTGAAGGAGACAGCCACAGACAGTAGATTCCTGGAAGTCTTGAACAGACTGCCTAAGGTCAGGCAGGATCAACATCTGAAATCATCAGAGGCAGATACAGAAAGAAAAAACAGCAGTCTCCTGCCATAGAAATTCACACCACAAAGTCAGGAAATCAAGACAGATCGATTTAAGAAGCAGAAGCCAAAAAAGGAAGAGTCTCACAAATAATGGGAAGACAAAGAAACACCCCTCAATTGAGGGGTAAGGGGGAATCAACAGAAAGAGAACTAAATGGAATAGAGTCAAGTAAACTATCAGATATTGAGTTCAAAACAATGGTTCAAAGGAAGCTCAATGAGCTCAGTGAGCTCAGACAGAATTACAAAATACTACAGGGAAATTACGAGGAACTTACTGCAAACTACATCAGCATGAAAAAGGACATAGAAACTATTAATAACAGACCAGAGAAAATGAAGAATACAATTACTGAATTGAAGAACACAGTAGAAAGAATCAAAAGTAGGCAAGATGAAACACAGGAACAAATCAGCGAGCTGGAGGATAAGGTAGAAAAAAGCTCCCAGGAAGAGCAAGAAAATGAAAAAAGACTCAAAAAGAATGAAGAGGCATTCAGGGAAATGCAGGACAACATGAAATGTAATAATATCCATATAATAGGGATACCAGAAGGAGAAGAAGAGGAGCAAGGGATAGAGAACCTGTTTGAAAAAATAATGATGGAAAACTTCCCTAATTCGAGGATAGAAAAAGTCACACCAGTCCAGGAAACACAGAGGGTCCCATTCAAGAGGAATTCAATGAGGCCCACTCCAAGACACATCATAATTAAAATAGCAAACATCAAAGACAGAGAATCCTAAAGGCAACAAAGGAGAAACAGGTAGTAACATATAAAGGAGCCCCGGTACACCTAGCAACTGGCTTCTCAACAGAAATACTACAAGCCAGAAGGGAACGGCAAGAAATATTCCATGAAATGAAAAGCAAAGACCTGCAACCAAGACTGTTCTACCCAGCAAGGTTCTCAATTACAATGGAAGGAGAAGTAAGGAGTTTCCCAGACAAAAGGAGGCTAAAAGAATACATTTCCACCAAACCAGCATTGCAAGATATGCTAAAGGGACTGCTTTAAGATGAAGAAAAATAGTCTATGAATACCCATTTCCTTTCACAGTTGCCAATACTTGATATTACCAATATTTTAATACTTATTTATCTGATTGTGACAGTGATGTGTTATTTTAATTGTTACTTTATTATTTGTTGAAACTAAACCTGGTTTTGTATATTTCTTGCCTATACCAATTATTTTTAAAAAGTTTTAAATGACTTTTTGGTATTCTTTATCCTTTTTTTGATTTAATGTTTGTAGAATTTTTTCCCTAAAAAAAAACCTATTCACCCTTTTTTAGATGTGTTGCAAATATTTTCCTATTCTATTACTTGTCATTTAAATATATATCACTGTATAGTCTTAAATGTTTAATATAGTCTTATTGTCAATAGTTTATTTTATAGCTTCTGGATTTGAATATGTTACCTCAGGGTAAGAAAAATATTATTTTGTATTTTCTCCTAAACCTCCTTAGATTGTACATATTGATTTTTAACTCATCTGAATATTTTTTGTATAATGTGTGAAATAAGGCTCTATATTTGTTCTATTTCAAGTAACAGTAGTTCATGCACCTTACTTGTTAACTAAGCCTTATTTTCCCCATTGATTTGAAATATCAATTTAATCATATAGTACATTGTTAGACAGATTAAAAAAAAAAAAAGCTACAAGAGAGTATCTTTACGGTCTCCGGCTGGGAAAGGATTTCTTATCAGGGGCTAATTGTATAGAAGAGGATTCATAAACTTTGACACAATTAAAATTAGGATCTTCTGTTCTGTGTTTCTTCTTACAAGGGCACTAACCCCATCATAAGCCCTCCACCCTCATGACCTCATGACCTCCTTCTCAAAGGCCCCATCTCCAAGTACAAGCACATTGGGGGTTAGGGCTTCAACCTACACATTTTGAGGGGAACACAGACCTGCAGCTTCTAATAGTCAGGCACTGGCCTCATTCCCACAGCCCCTGCTGGGCTGGCTCCCAGCTGCTGGGTGGCCTTGAATAAACCCCTCCATCTCTCTGTGCCACAGCTTACTTGCCCCTGACAAAGCCTCCCAGTCCCTGGGCCACCTCCCTCGCAGGCATCAGGAGTCATCGCTCAGGATGATGAATGAAAGGCCCAGGGACGGACACCACCAGGAGGGCCCAAGTAACACTCACTGAGAGCTGTCAGATCACGCACCATTCCCTACCAGGGGCCGTTCAGAGAGGCTTGTGTGAGGGCGCGCGTGTGAGGGGCACAGGCCCCTGTGGGCATCTCTGCCGTCGTCCTCATTTTAGCTACGGCATCTGCACGGTTTGGGATCCCCGTTTGAGTTAAGGGAGCTTCTTAACAGCCACAGAGTCCAGTTGTGCAGGTTGCGCACTGTGCAATCCTAGAAGGCACTGTTCCCAGCTCAGTCTGTTACCTTATGAGCCATGTTGGAGCTCCCCTGTCTTGAAGACACTACGTGTCAGTTATATTTTGTCCTTTAACTCTCAGGTCCTGCTCTCTTCATTTTGCAGAGGAGGACGCCCAGGCTCCAGGAGACGCTCCTGTGCCCAAGCCATACAGAAGAGCTGAGCTAGGATGTAAACTCCCTTCTGCCCAGTGCCCCAGCTGCCAGCACTCTGGACCCTGTGCGCTGGGAGCTGGCACGGAAAGTCGGGCCACCCAGGCCTTGGTCTTCAGGCTTGGGAACCGGGCGTCCCAGCCCCGGAAAGCACTGCTTGCCGCCCCTGATAGGCTGGGCTCAGCAGCAAGGGGAGGGGGCGCCAAGAGCCCTGGACTTGAGTTCAAAGCTGGTTGCAACGCCGACCAGCTAGGCCACCTCGGGCCTCAGTTTCTCCGTCCGACCCACGCAGAGACACGACAGCGAGAGCTCACGGGTTCGGCCGCCCCGCCCTCGGGGGTGGGGCTGGACGTGATCACGTGGAGGGGCACCCAGTCGTTCCCCCGCCCCAACCCCGCCCCGCCCCCGCACTCCGGGCCCTCCGCCCAGTCTCTGTCTGGAGCTGAGAGCGTTAGGGCACCCAGCGGGCTGGGGACTTGCAGCCGCGCGTCGGCTGCTGAGGTGGGCGCTGTAGCCGCGGGGTCCGAGGACGCCTGCTAGCTGCCCGGTTCCCTGCGGGCCAGCTGTGCAAGCGCTGGACAAGCAGCAGCACCAGCAGCAGCAACAACAATTCGAGTGCAGACGGCAGCAGCAGCCGCGACAGCAGTGACACCATGGATCTATCCTTTATGGCCGCGCAGGTAACAGGACGCCTTCCCCGCGCGCCCCGGGCCTCCAAGTTTGGGCAGGTCCGGGGCTAGGTCTCACCCTCCCCACTGGTGCTGGGCGCGCAGGAGGGTTCGGGCCGGGCTGTGGCTCCAGCCTGGGATCCATGTCCCGGTCCTTTGTCCAGAGCCTCGGCATCCCCACCTGGTGCGCGCGTCCGGGATGGCGATCTCGGCTCCCCGGTGGTGGGGCCGGCCTTGCTCTCAGAGCCCATTGGGTTCACTTGTTCCCAGGCTGCGAGGGACCCCCTCCCAACCCTCCCCGGCCACCATCTGCTCTCCCCCTCGGATTCCCGAAGCCCTTCAAAGCTGGGCAGCCCAGATGTGTGCATCTGGATGAGCAGGCAACCTCGCTCTTGCCCGTTCTTTATCTCCCGGAGGCGCACGGTAATCTGTCCCTTGCTCCCCACCTCGCTCTTCTCTTTAAGCGGAGACCAGAACCGGAGCAAGGCGGCCGCTTTGTGACCTGCCAAGCGCCAAGCACAGCGATCATTTGTTTTATCCTGTTTTGCTTTGTGCTGAGTCTGCGGCCATCGTGCCCGGGACCATAACTCTTTCCTTGATGCAAAACAGGTCCCCAGCGTCAGGGAAAACAGATGACTTCTTGTGGCTTCGTCTTTGCTCAGAGATTCTCCCTGAGGTCTGTTGGGTGATGGTTCTGTGCCTGTGCCTTAGCGCTCTTGAGCAAGAGCAAAGGCACACACCCGCCTTCCCTAGCTGTCTGGGGCCTTTCCCGGTACCCAGTGCCAGTCTGACTCCAGGGAAAGGCCATGTTTGCTCTGAGGAGTATGTCCCACACCTTCTGTGAGGGCGCTGTGTTGGGAGCCCAGAGGCAGGAAGGCCTCGGAGGTTCCCTCTGCCCCCAGGTGTCCAGCAGGGGCCCACCTGCTGCCGTTTAATTTTTCAGGGAGTGGAGTTTGATGACACACTTTCCATTCTCCCCAAACTTGGCTGTGGTGGAAGCCTGTTTAAAAACTAACAGCAAAACCTAGGCTGTAGGGACAGCGAGTCCCCAGATGCAGGCGTGAAATGGTTCAGGGTCCCCAGGTTGGCCCCAGGGAACCCCAGTCCAGCTCCTGGCTGCCTCTGGACAAATTTCCTACCATGCCCACTGCTCCCATGAGCAAGGCTGGCCTTTCTTGCCTAATTTTTCTGTCTCCTATTTCTAATCCCATGTTTAAAATATTGTCACGTGCACACCATTTGACACTGTGGTGACTTTAGCTATATGGTAACTGAGGCGGCCTCAGTGGATTCATTTCTGGAGGAGACAGGAGCTCACACAATGTCTGTCTGCCTTCCCTGCTGGACACCGCTGAACAGCTGGCAATTCTGCGGGTAGAAAATGAATTGATCTCTGCTAACCCTGGGGCTAGCTGGAGCAGCCTGAGTTGCTATGGTAACATGGCAAAATAAACATAGGGCTTTTTAGCACCTATAGGCTGAGCCTGCACAGAGATTTGTCTTTTTGTGTGTGTTTGTTTATAATTCAAGTCTCGTGTGGTCATTTTATTCACATGGACAGAGGTTTGGGCATTAATTACATGCTCAGTCCGGAAAAGAGCAGAGACAGGAAGTGCTATCCGATGGGGAGAGACACTAAGGTTTATTGAGCACCTGCTGCGTGCCCGACGCTGGGCACGTGCGCCCTCTCTTACAGTGAATCCATGTAGGTCAGTGACCTTGGTGCCGCTGTCCTCGTTTTACAGATCAGGAGAGCAAGCTCCAACCTGATTCTGTAATCTTCCCAGGACGCACCACGGGGAAGGGGAAGAACTGGGGCTCAAATCTGGGTCTGCGTATCTGAGGTGCTCAGGCCCAGATTCCCACCTTGTTGCTTCACCCTGAAGGCACAGTATAAGGGGCAGGCAGGTATTTAAAGACAACTCATCTCCTCCTCCCCCGCCCCCGGACGTGGTCTGACCAGGCGCGTAGTATTCTAGCGGGTGGCTTTCTGGTGTTTCCTTGCCCCACATGGCAGGGACTTTTACTCCTTTTTCTGTGGCGTTAACAGTACTTGGCCATGTGAGGGGTCAGCCCACGCTCTGAGTGTGCAGTGACTTCCAGGTGGTGTGACCGTCCCCCCACACCGGCAGCGGGCGGTTTGACAGAGAAATGGCAGTGCCCCCGTCCGCTCGTTCAGCACATGTTGAGCCTTGCGCCACGCTCCGTGTCAGGCAAGGGGACGAGGGCGCGGGGGCACAGAGTTGAATGGGTTGTAGACTTTCTCGCCGGATGCCCCTGGGGTACTGGAGAAATGATGAGCCAGGCCATTTCCAGCACAGGTGACCAAGGCGGCTGGCACCTAGCATGACTGGATGAGGGCCAGAGAAGACGCATGTGCAGGAACGGGCCTTCTAGGAAAGGAGAGTGAATTGGAGGTGTCAGGTGCTCTCCTCCCAAGCACCTGTCCCCGTCAGCACTCTGAGGATGGGCGTCCCAGTGGCTGAAAACAGGCAGGTTCCCCAGCGGGCCTGGCAACGAGGGCATTCTAGGCGGAGGTGAGAGGGAGCGAGGTCTGAACAGAGTCCCGGAATCCTTGGGGAGCGGAGGGCAGGGGCCCAGGGGAGCTGGAAGAGAGCCGCCGGGGCCAGGTGACCGAAGGCGCTGCCAGGTGGGAAGAGAAGGTCACTCAGTCCGTCAGCAGTGGGCGCTGCTGCAGGTCACTGAGCAGGGAGCAGAGGCGGGTTTATTAGCCGCTTGGGAAAACCCTGGCCTCCGGGGAGGACCAAGGTGGGAGGGTGGGCGGGGTCAGGAGCACACATCTGCTTGACCTGCGGATGGGGCAAAACAACCAGGTCATTCCTTGGGAGCCCCAAACCCCAGCCTCTCCCCATGGCACTCTTGTGAAGTGTGATTCCTGCCCGCCCGCGGTTTGCCCTGAAGGAAGCCCACGCTCTGCAGAGATGCAGAGACTCTGAGGCCTCTGTGCTGCAGGGAGGGAATGGACATGGAAGGAGCCTACTGTGTGCTGGGCCAGCGCAGGGTATGAACCTGAGAGGCAAGGAGCGCCACTCCCCTGTCCCTACGTTGTAACCCCCCGTAAAGCAAGCCTGCTCATGGCTTGTGTCGTCCTCCACTCTCCCTTCAGGGACTAGTCTGAACCCGGGCGCCCCCAAACATTGCAGCCTTTGGGATCACCTGGGGGCTCTTAGCAGCCCCGCCGTCAGAGTCAGGGGCGGGAGCGGGCCACAGACTATCTTTTTCCTTCTCCCGCGGACTCCCGCGTGCGGTCGAGGAGGAGACCTGGAGCCTGAATCCTCACTGCAGGGCTCTCCCCCTCCGCTTCTCAGGGTGGAGCAGATCCTTGGCCCCTAGGTCCCTTGTAGGTCATAAAGGTCATGTGGTCCCGGGAAGTCACCCCAGCCTCAATTCGGCAACTTAGATAGAGACGTCCAGAATAACACAACCTGGGAACTAGCTCCAAAATGAAGGCTCTCCCTTCCCCCAGACCACGCCGGCCACGGTGGGAAACCTTGGGTCTGGGGTGGGTAGCTTCATGGTTCCCACGCACAGACGGGCAGGAAACGGGGATCCGGGGAGGCTCCGCTACAAAGCAGAGGAGCCAGGAGGGGGCCCCCTGCCACGTATCAGCTTCGGAGAATTCTGGACAAGGGGACAAGGCTGCCTTCCCAGCTGCCCATCTAGTTGTTCAGGAAATATAGCCTGTGTGCCAGGCCCTGCCTCCTTGGAGTGCCAGGGAGGAAGCAGTCCCTAGTGTCAGGGTAGGGGTTAAACACAGCTGCCCTGGGAGCCAGAGGGAGGCACCCAGTCCAGTCCCAGAGGTCAGGGAAGGCTCCCAAAGGCTCGCATTGAGCTGAGTTTGAGGGACCCGTAGCTGTTACGCAGACAAAGCGAGGGGACGTTCCAGGCAGCGGAGCGCGTGCACAAGGACTGGAGATGGAGGGGCTGGAGACAGCGCCTCCTGTTGGGGGCAAGGGTCGTAAGTACCCCTGTGGTTGGGCCAAGGTGGGGATGAAACCAGGGAGGCTGGCGCCAGGCAGGTGACTTCATGGACGGGAGCAGGGTGGGGCGAGGGGCTGGGGCGGCCCAGAGGGGGCGTCTGGCTCCAGCCCCCTGCGTGCGCCACACAGGCAACGCAGGCCCACGGCTGTGGCTCCTCCGGGTTTTCAAAGAACCGGAAAATTTGATGTGTACGTGCAGCCTGGATTTTCGAATCTTGGCAACTAATTAATTTCCTCTTTTAACAACCAGTCAACCATGATGTGAGCAGTTTCAGCTACTTCTTGCTTATTATTTCAGTTACTTAACAGCTTAAAGCAATAACTTGTCTTTTGCTCATGATTTTGTGGCCCCACAGTTTGGGAGGGACTCGGTTGCTGTTTCTGCTCTGATGGCATCAGCTGGGGCCCCGTGGCTTCTTCCACGCACGTCCGGCACCTCCGAGCAACCTGCCCCTCTCTCCACCGGGCGTTGCGCCCTGCATGTGCTCCTGTGGGCATCTGGGCCCCTCCAGTGGGGTGGCCTCAGGGGCTTTGCGCTTCTTGTGTGGCGCTACCTCCCCTCCAAAAAGCATTCCTGGCGGAGACTGCAAAACTTCTTAGCCGTTGCCTTGGAAGCCCCAGAGGGTCTCTAAGGCTAACTCTGTTTGCTTGGGTCAGGAGAGCCCTGAGGCCAGCCCTGGGCCACAGGGAGGGGGTCAGATGTCACCCATTGATGTGGGAGCAGCGTGGGCATCCAGGAGGGAAGGCAGGAATGGGTGGCCTCCATTCCCTGGAGACTGGTTGCTCCGCGGACCAAACAGAGCGGGCGTGTGGGCCGGATTCACACTGCGGCTGCGACGAGATCTCTCTAGACTGGACAGTGGGTGGATCGAGCCTGATGAAACCTCGTTGTCAACGGCCAAGCCTGGAGAAAAGTCAGTTATCACTAAGGAGTTAGGCCATGACTTTGTTAGGTTGGACCACACGAAGCTGCTGATAGCGGACCAGTTTTGACACATAAAATGACAATTA